TGCTTTCTAGAACTGAATAGCCTGAGAAAAACTCTCTGGATCCGATACGTATTCTGCTGGGGTCGTCGTCGGGTTAGAGAGGGATCCTTGGTCCCACAATCCTCCCCAAGTTCAGAGAAATCGTCTCTCGACGAGTTATTGCCTGAAAAGTCAAGTTTACCTATTCCTGCGGAGATCAAAGATTTTCAGCGCCTTCCCGGATACCAATACCCTGCCATCGAGATATTCGAAACGAAAGAGGAAGCACATGCGCAATGGTCTCGAAGGGACTTGGGGGTTGGAGAGTTGCCGGAGTTGACCGTGCGGAAGAACCAGCGCATGATGCGACAGACTCAAGGGTTGTCGTCATCTCTTATCTAGTGTATATCTACTCTAGTGGTGCTAATGGTATCGAGCCATCTAATTCAACGCATAATGGGTATTTGCGGTAGAGGTACCGTCTGTAGCACTGACAAGGGTATTACTCTGTATGAAGTAGATCTTGTCCAGTCCTCTTTTCAGTATGTATACTGTTTAGAACATCATCTTATCGTATGGCCCTCGAAGAAGCTCGATCGTCTCTCCTTTATATATAACTTGATTGAACAATAGCCCAAACGGTAAGACTACTACGATAATTAGGAGGCAACATTTGTATCTTCGGAGTTCATTGACGCCAAAATGGTCTTGGTGTAGCAGTTCATAACAATACAAAGAGAGGGCCGAGGGCGGAGTTAGAAAAGACTCAACAGCGACCCTTTTTGGCTTGGATCGTATTTCTCGTCAGGAAGGCACAATCAGACTTATTCATCATCAAATTATACAAATGATCCCATTTTAAAGCCCTTCCTGGAGCTGAGCATCATTCTTCCCGGACCAGACTCTCATTGTCTACCACTGGCACGTTCGACTCGGAAGACTGAGGCAGCAGACTATCTCATAGGACAAAAGTCTTCCACTTCTCGTCGTCAAATATCTAGGCTCGTGTATCCATCGCCTTTTCTGGATTCAAACAAACGAGAATGACCTCGAATACGATTGCCGATCTCAACTTTCAACATTCAACGAACGAGAGCTGTCTAGTGAATGAAGACAGGCTTTGTAAGGAGTTTATGGAATAGACTTTCCGAGAACACAAGGGTACTCTCACTTCCTCTATGTACAGAGCTAGGAGTTCGGTTGACATGGCTGTTTTCGGGACACCTTGCCATATTGTATGAATTGCCGAATATATTGGTAGAAGAGGTGAACTAGGATCTCAACTAACAGTTTCTCTGATTCACCAACTGCCTGATAGGTGCTTCATTGTCATTCAAACCGACCTCGAGACGATATTGCTAGATCCGTTATTTCACTAGACCTCCCAGCGATGAGATTCAAGATTGGACAGATGATCGCGCTTGATTTCGCACAGCCGCAAGTGCGGCGCCTCGTTGAACTCAACCTCTCCCAAGCATACCTTTGTGGCTGCAATAAAGAACTGGAACGCCTTACCTGCACCGAGACTCTGGAATAGACGAAATAGTGGGACTGGAACCACAAGAGTGTTGAAACAGTATTGCATACTACTGAAATGAGCGATAGAGCGATGAAAGGTCACGATACAGGTGAAGATCCCCTTCATAACACGGGTCAGAATGTCAAAGAATTTGTCAAGGAAATCAACGGAAGGTAAATACGATTCTTTGGTCTTTCCTGCGGTGGCCTGAGTCGTTATCGACCGATTCGCTGAGAAATATGCCACAAGAATCTTTAGCAGACTTAGTGGCAGTTATTTGCTACCCTCTGGTATGTGCTATCGAGGTGTGATAGCCGGCTCTGACTGTTTTATTTTTGATTGTTTCTTATAGACGAGGTAGAATGGGTGAGGCTGTGAGTTGAGGTGGATCCCTTAGGCGACAATGCTTTGTTCGCTCACTTTCTAATCTCAAGAGAGAAACAGAGTGTAGCACTAATGATTGCGATGGGTGGACTATATCTATGTCCAGAGGTTGTTGAAGCTATCTTGAACCCCGTTGAGGGTCAAGAAAAGCATATACTCGACATAGGTATGAGCCATGATTTCACTATCGCCTCTTGATATACTCACAGTACATTCACAGGATGTGGGACTGGTTCATGGTACGCTCTCCGTCAATCCATGTATCAAGGAGATCTAAAGAACAATAATCAGGGCCTTGGAAATGGCTCGTCGTTTTCCACATGCATCAGTCTTGGGAGTGGATATCTTTCCTCCTCCAGTATATTCAAATGCTCCCTCTAACCTACGGTTCGAAATGTCCAATATCAACCTCGGAATGTCCCGCTTCTATGACCAATTCGACGTTGTTCACGCTCGAGGCGTCGGAGGTGGAATTACGGATATGGACCGAACGTTCAGAGAGTTCCAAAGGTGCCTCAAGCCAGGAGGAATATTGTTCATAGTGGATGGTGACATGGTTTTCTATGAAAGTAGAAATAAACCAACTAGGATGAAAAGGCTCCCTGGGGACCCAGATGTCAGTGGCGCGACTGAAGATGGATCTTGGCTTCAGAGGATGGTAGCTGGTGAATGTCCTTCCCTTTCACCCCGTGTCGATAATTCACATCTCATGTTCATACAGAAGCCTGGGAAGTGTCTGCATTCAACGGTGCTGATATGACTCGCTATTGTGAATTGGTCGATTTGGGGCTTTGGGACTACCCTTCCATTGATCCGGAAACGGCGAGGGCTGGTGGAATATATCTTCCGGTGGGACCTTGGGCAAAAGGTTTGCGATTATCCTTCCCTAACCGATATTGAGGATGCATCTGACCGCAAACTTCCCTCAGGCGCTACAGATATCGAAACCGAATCACTCCAATATGGAGGAGAGCTCATGCAAAAGGTCCTTCTCAATATTCATCGTGCCTATCACTCGAGGCTTTTACAATGTGGAATGGGTCAAGAGGTTTTGGACGAGTGGTCCAGCAATATAGACGATGGTATGTATTGTGAGATGACCAACATAGCCATCTTTTCGTCCCTCTTAATTCAACGGTAACTGAACACTATCTAGAACTAAATACATTGAAAAAGAAACTCTGGGTCCGATTCCGGTTT